GGGCTGACGCGGGAAGGCTACGCAGGGCTCCCCGGCCGGGCTGGGCTGCTGGGCACCGAACCGCAGACACCCGCCCGCCCGGCCTCCTGCCCGGGGACACGGCTCCCGGCCGCACGGAGGGGACGTCCTGGGCAGGAGATCCGAGGCAGGGGCCGCGGCCGTCAGCTCCCGACCTCGCTGCGATAGCGACCCGGCCCAGCTGGTTTCAGAGATGATCCGTTTCCTGAGAAACTTCCAGGAAAGACGCAGAAAGTTCTCGGCCCAGTTGCTTCCACACGGGTGGGTTTTGAGACAAGAGACAAAGATGGAAAGGTAAAGGAGCTGGGGCCGGGCGCTGGTGGCTCACGCTGCATCCTAGCCACCCCGGAGGCCGCGATCTGAGCGTGGATCCCAAGTCAGAAAGTCCACGAGCCTCATCCCCAGAAGATCCGAGCAAAGCCAGAGAGGACCAGTCCAGGGTGAAAGAGCTAAGCCCTGAGTTCAGACCCCATCGAGTGCGCTAGCTCTTTGTCTCTCTGTCGCTCTGTTGCTCGGTCTGTCTCTCTGCCTGCCTGTCTGTCTCTCTGTCTCTCTGCCTGTCTGTCTCTCTCTCTCTCCCTTTCTTCTCCTCTCTCTTCCCTCTCTCACTCTCCTCTTCCTCTCTCTCCCACTCTCCCTCTTTCTCCCATGCACACCCAAAGTAAATGATCTTCCAGTGGAATTTGGGGAAACTAAAGAAGTCAGACAATTCATGTTTCCTCCTTGTTGGACGGCTGTCCAGTTACCTCTTTCAGTCCCGGTTACACTAAAGTTCCCCTAAGTTTAACTTGTGGGAGCTCATAGATAGTTCTCAGTTGACCCATCTACAAACCTCTTTCACCTATAAAGATTTCCTTCCTTTATTTGGGGGCAGCCGATCGATTAATTAAAGAGAAAATACTTTTCCTAGTGAGCAGGACCTGCTTACAAATTTCATACAGCAATCTTTTAGATTAAAAATTTTTTAAAAATGAACACTACTTTTCAGGCGGGGAGAGATCTAATGGCATGTAAATAGCCTGATAGAATTTAAGTAATTGCTAATCATTACTTTCCCAGCATCCCAGGTTGTAAATTAAAGCCAATTTGTTTAGAAGCCTCACCCATCTGTCTTCAATGACAGCCTATGGAGCTGGCTTTCCTGTGACATACTACCGAGGAGTTTGGCCCTGCTTCTGACAGCCCTCAGTCTTGACTGTTGCCCCCCAAAATGATTCAGATTCTGACATTCCTAGTTTGTTTGGCAGTGTTCTCAGGCGAGCTGCTGACAGAGTCACCGGGCTGGCCCAGGGTGATATCTCCCCACCCCCACATCACCCCCACCCCCTTTCTGGCTGTGCTGATGGGGCTGCCCAGCAGAGGCTGGCATTGTGGTTCCCAAAGACTACAGCTGAATTGCGCCTCTGTGCCGGCTCTCAGCACTTTCCATTCTGCTTGGCTTTCATCCTACATAATAAAACTGGTTGTTATTTTTCTGACCGGCCTCCAGACACTCATTAGCTTTCACTCTGAGTACCGGAGTGCAGAAGAAAACTGGAGCCAAAGGGAGGTTCTGGCAGAGCAGAGGCCTGTGGTGAACATTCTCCACAGCAGCCGGTTTCCCAGGCTCTTGCCTGCCAGGGGCCACTGCGGCCTGCAGGGAGAACTTACCTGGTACATCAGCTGGCTGGGAAAGCCCAGAACCGGTTAGGAGACAAAGTCAGATGTCTACACCATCTCTGTCCTCTTTTGAGGGAGCCAAGCACATTTCCTGGACCAGACTCCCTGCCTGGGCTGTGGCTGCACATCTAGAAGCAGAGACAGGAAGATCCTGAGTTCCAGGCCAGCCTGGCGTACATGGTGAAATCCAAGCTCAATACATAAATAAAACCAAACGAGTCTCTAGCAAAGCTGACTTCACATGTTCTGAAGGATTCAAGCCTGCCAGACCGCACCAGTCCACTTCGGAGCTTTCCAGTGGGGATGGCAGCCATGAGCTGGGACCACTCACCAATGGGCTGTGGTGCCGTTGGGGAGGTTCAGCCTGTGGAAGAGAGTTTGGACGTGCTTGATGGTTAGAGTTGGGCTCTCTCTCCCTGTGGGACGGGCGCTGGAGGTGCCTGCTCCGTTGATGTCCACTCTGCCAGGCACTGGGCTTTTGTTACTCCTTTTATTATGCCTTACGTTTTGCATAATCCCCTCTCGCAGACTCTACAGTATTTTTGCTTTTACTATCCCATTTATAGATGGCAAAACTGAGCATCAGGGAGGCAAATTTCCCTGCTTCACAGTCTGTCAAGGGCCGGTCTGGACATGGTCGTGTCCCGTGGTAGAGACCAAGGGTGGTAAGTGGCTTCTCCCACAGCGAGAACCCAAAGCTGTAACTGAAGGTGTAGACAGCCCTTCCATAGCGTGCCATTTTCAAAGCAATGCAAAAACATCCCCCTGTGCTATTCAGAAGGCTCCTCTGCCTGGTATTCCTCCCGGGAGTGCTCTGGCCACGTTGGTAAAGAAGAAAGGGGTTTCCTGGGGAGCCTTTACCTGCTGCATACTGCAGCGCATGGTGTCACAGCCTGGAGAAAATCCCCTCATGAAATATGAATGGCGCCAAGGACCTTGGTGCTCCTTCAAAACAAATATACAAAAGGAAACCCGGTCCTTTGGCATGATCTCTGAGACCTGCCAACAGTTTCTAAGACTAGAGTCGACAGGCTTTGTTCTTGTCTGAGAACCGTGCTACAAACGGGAAAGATAATGAGCAACAGCCACAAAGAACACTTCTAGCACAAGCTAGGACTGGTTGGATAGAGTGTGCATTTGTAGGCATATACACATATTCAAGGGAAATGCAAACCTACTGCCATTTAATTTAAAACTATGCTGGAGTTAGCCACATTGAGACCTTTTCACCCCGTTGGTTTGTGAATTCCATGCCAGTGAATCTTAAAAGCACATCCACTGGGTGTTCACATAGCTGGCAATTAGGTAGACGAAAGTGGAAAAGTGGACTTAACTCCAGGCATGGTGGCTCACATCTGGAATCCTAGAGACTTGAGAGGTGGAGATCCAGAGTATCGTCAGTTGAGGCTAACCCAGGCAGGAAATTTGAGAGACCTATCTCAACCAAAAGCCGGATATTGTGCTGTGCTCTGGTCATCCGAGTTATGGTGGAAGTATTTATAGGAGGATCGAGGTTTAGGCCAATACTGTCCAAAAGTGAGACCTTTTCTCAAAAATTACCACAGTGAAAAGGGTTGCAGGTGTGGCTGAGGTGCTAGAATGCCAGCCTGGGGAGTGCAAAACCCTGGTTCAAAGTGCAGTATAGAAAAATAGCTTCAACAGGATAATACAATAAGGCAGCTCTTGTCTCACATTATGAGATGTTATTGTAGGCTATGGGCTTCAACACAGGGCCTGAGCGCTGTCCCTGAGCTTTTCTACTCAAGACTAGCACTCTACCACTTTGAGCCACTGCTCTACTTCCAGTTTTCTGGTGGTTCATTGGATATAAGAGTCTTATGGACTTTCCTGCTGGGGCTGGCTTTGAACCGCGATCCTCAGATCTCAGCCTCCCGAGTAGCTAGTATGACAGGCGTGAGCCACCAGTGTCCAGCATAAGGGGTTTTAATTACCTTTAAAGCTGCAATTAATATGTCAAGTTTACTGTATTTCAAATCTCTGGATTAGGTCTTTCTAGAGCCCAGCAACCACAGACCAGTGGGAAATGCCTGAGAACGTACGTGGCCCTGCTAACCTGCCGTGGATGGGGATACATTTTGCCTTCTGCATGAGAAGTGGGAATGCCAAAAGTTTCCCCACAAGAATGACAGCTCTGAAATAGACGCACTCATATAGAGTTCTCAGTGCATGCTTTGATGTAATGTCAAGTATCTGACAGCTGAGGTCCCAGGGCCACTAGCAAGTGAGGTCAGAAGCCTGGGACCTCACCTGTGGCAGCCGGCAGCCCGAGGCCCGGCTTTGGTCACTCCACTCACCTTCCGCCCTTTTTGATTTTGGGTTTCCCAGCAAGAAACCAGCTGGGTGGGGGACTCACTTCGAAACCACTCTGCTGACCTCCAGAAGAACGGCCATAATTAAGATTCCCCTTCAAAGCCTGTAGACCGATGCCAGCATCAGTTATACCATTGTTCAAAATGTCTTGCAAATCCTTTTTGGAATTGCCGTCCACGTTTGCTGGGGCAAGTGTAATGTATGTTCAGTTTCCTATGTTATTTCATTGCTGTAGTACCTCCATGAGTCTGTGTGTGTGTGCGTGTGTGTGTGTGTGTGTGTAATGTAACAGCAACATTGTGCTGCTAGACCCAGGCACACAGCACGACCTGGGTGTGGTTTAGTGAGAATTGGGAGCAGAGGCACCAGGGGCAGATTCGGCGCATGCAGGACTAGAGGGAGGACATTTGTCAGATGATGGTGTTTGGGGTGGGACATTCCGGTCTGTCTTGCAGGTGTATGCTGGAGCTGCTCTCCACTCTCTGAACCCTTTCTGATTCCTGACACACTTGGAGCTGCATGAAGTATAGGCCAGGCCTTTGCACAGCTGCCCCTATACCTGAGTTTACCTTTCCTTTCATTGTCTGCTTGGGAGTTTCTGCTCATCCACTTGTCAGGTTGAGCCCAGACATAGCTCCAGGAAGAACCCTACCCCCCTTACCCTCTCAGAGCCAGGTCTGAGACAGGGAGAAGAGCTAGTGCTAGCTAAAGCCGCCATGTTTGGGACTGTGTGTCTGAGACCTTGTTCCACCATGCCAGGTCTCCTTGGCAGTGCTCTTGCTCTCTGGACGGCTTGGGAATGAGCTGCTCAGCCTGGCAGCGCCCGGAGGCTTGCCCCGAAGCTTAGCTGTCTTCCTGTCTTGTGTGTGCCAGGCTATATTGGCATGCAGGAGTTTTAAAGGTGTCAGATCTGAACTGTGGACTGAGCCTGGGAAGATATCCATGAGTGCCCATGGGTTCCTTTTGGAAGCTGGCACTGTTACTCTGTAAGTGGCAAGAGGGGACAGGAGGGGTGAGAATGTGACCTAGTGGTAGAGTGCTTGCCTAGCATGCATGAAGCCCCGGGTTCGACTCCTCAGTACCACATACACAGAAAACGCTGGAAGTGGTGCTGTGGCTCAACTGGTAGAGATCTAGCCTTGAGCTGAAGAGCTCAGGGACAGCACCCAGGCCTAGAGTTCAAACCCCATGACCAACAAAAGAAGAAGGAGAAGGAGGGAGCAGGAGTCCGGGGACACGGCCTGTGGTCACTCCTTACTTTGCTGGGGCAGCTGGGGGGGGCACTCACGCTGGCGGCAGCTCTGCCACAGCCCCATTTGAAGAGCGAGTTCTCTGGCGGTGAGTGATTGTGCTCCTGCTCCTCGCTGTGCTCATAGGTGAGGGGAGGCCCCGCTGCATGGCTGGCAACTCTCGAGGCCGTCCTCCTCTCCAGGGCTGTGCTCAGCTGCACCCAGGAAAAAGCGAGCCTTCCCCTCCCAGCGGGGATCCCCTCCAGGGATCCTGGAGCTCCGGGGTCGGGTCAGCTGCCCACCCCATCAGTGCTCTTTACTTGCTTCTCTCTCTCAGTTCTGTTTTGTAGTTCATGGTAGAGAGATGAAGTAGTGCCTTCAGCCCCTTCCCCTCCGCGCCCCTCCTCCTGCAGACTGCCCCGAAGGTCCTCAAGGAGCCCGGGCCTTCCCTTCCTTCCAGGGAGGGCAGAGTGGTTGGGAGGAAGGGCGTGGCCTCTCCATGCTCATCTCATGGTCCTCCAGCCTTTGTCAGTCCACCATCCTTTACCCAACACATGGGGGCCAGACATGCTTGGAAATCAGACTTTCTGGATGTTAGAAAGATAAAATGGCATTTGGGAAGCTGAGGCAGGATGATCTCAAGTTCTAGGCCAGCCTGGCCTAGCTCACTAGAGCTCCTGTCCCTAAGTCCTCCCTGTCCCCCAGAGAAACAGAATAGGGCACACACACACACACACACACACATTGTATTTTGCATTTAGGGGCAAGACCAGCCATCAAACTGATTCTGCAGCAAAATGGATGCAGACCACCCCATCTTTTTAGCCTTGTCCAACACCACGAGTCTAAATGAGTCATGAAAATTGGTAGTTTTCAGAGCCTTGTGATTGTTTCAGGATTTTTATGTGTCTAAGCATTGGAGGTTCGTTTTATAACTTGAAGGAGCATCTAGTAATCTACTCAGGGTTAATAGAGCTGAATCCCACACAACAACCAGCCCGCACTGGAGAGGATATAACAGACCTGGTGCTCGAGAGCCGTCTCCTGAGACCTGGTATGTGCCTCTGGCTTGGCAGACGGAAGGCATCTTCTTCCTTCCTCCTCCTCTTCCTCTTCCTCCTCCTCCTCTCGCCCTCCTCCTCTTCTTCTCCCCCTCCTCTTCCTCCTCTCCTCTTCCTCTTCCTTTTATTTTATTTTATTTATTTATTTTTTGTCCGGTCATGGGGTCTGAACTCTGGGCCTGGGCGCTGTCCCTCAGCTCTTCAGCTCAAGGCTAGCGCTCTACCACTTGAGCCACAGTGCCACTTCCGGCTTTTTTCTTTTTGCTTATATGGTACTGAGGAATCGAACCCAGGGCCTCATGCATGCAAGGCAAGCGCTCTACCACTGAGCCACCTTCCCAGCCCCTCTTCCTTTTTTGTTTTAGAACTGAGTTATCTTTCTGTTTCTATGATAGCTAAAGATCTCTTTTGCTTTAAGTCAACATACATTAGAGTTTTTAGCTTACTTGTGATTCTTATTATCGTGTAACTGCTGTGTAAATAGTTGTTTGGGGAACATGCCTGTCCGTCCATGTTCACTATTGTTGCGACATTTAAGTATTTCAGAGAGAGTCTGGCTGCGACCTACCTGCCCATGATGGCCTGTCGTTTGTATCTGAGGCCGGATCACAGGCTCCCGAGCGCTGGGGCCAGCCTGTGCCTTTCCCGACACCCGGCCACTGGCGGTGGGGTGGCCGTGGCGGACGGGTGCCCGTGGTGACACCCGGCCACTGGCGGTGGGGTGGCCGTGGCGGACGGGTGCCCGTGGTGACACCCGGTTCCCTTCCTTGCAGTGCCGGGACTACCGGGGTGGCTGGCTGACCGGCGCCCTGTGTGAGGACCTGTGCGTGGCGGGGCAGCTGCTGTACCAGCGCTGCCTGTACTACGAGCGTGGCAAGAAGGTGCTGCAGGCCCAGTGGCGTGGCCGGCCCGTCGTCCTCAAGTCCAAGAGGGAGGCCTTCTCCAGCTTCCCGCCCCTCGGCCTGCTGGAAGAGGAGGCCGGGCCGGGCGGTCAGGGCATCTCCGAGGCGGACCTGCTCCTGCTGGTGGCCGGGGAGGTGAAGAACGCGCTAGGTCTGGAGCTGTCGGGCAGCAGCATGGGGCCCCTGTGGCCGGCCAGGAGAGGCCCAGGCTGGCGGCGGCAGCTGGACAGCGCCTGGTCCCTGCTCCAGCAGGAGGAGTATGTGTACTTGAGCCTGCTGCAGGACCTCAGTCACCACGTCCTGCCCGTGCTGGGCTCCTGCGGCCACTTCTATGCTGTGGAGTACCTGGCCCCCGGCAGCCCCCACCACGCAGCTCTCTTTCCGCTGGACGACTCTGGCCCCAGGGGGGGACAGGCTCGGGCCACCAGCCGCATTGCCCTCAGCTTCCTGGACATGGTGAGCCACTTCGACAACGACTTCTCCCATCGCCTCCACCTCTGCGACGTCAAGCCAGAGAACTTTGCCATCAGGAGTGACTTCACAGTAAG